TTTTGTTTATTTTAATTTCAATAATATTCCCTGTTTAGTCAGTTGTCTTGATGAATTATTATCCTAAAATCAGACATGGAGCTGACAGATATTTACAATCCAAGACATAAAAGCATAATTTATAACTGTATACAACAGATCATAGATATTTTCTTCAGATTGTACTGGGATGCTCCCATACAAAAAAGAAAATCGCAAATGAGTGTAATAGACACACACTAAAGCTAGCATGAGATTAGCTTTTTAAGCACAATGATTAGAAATGGTTGCTAATTTCGAGCAGCGTTCAATTCATTTCAATTTATTTATATAGCTCCAAATCACAACGCATGTCATCTCAAGTCACTTTACAGTTCACCAGATCATTCAGTCAAATTGATTCAAAGTTTTCTATCTAAGGAAAACCAGTTGATTGCATCGACTCATGGACTCGAAGGCAATCTCTCACACTCAGCATGCTTGTAGCGACAGTGGAGAGGAAAAACTCCCTTTTAACAGGAAGAAACCTCCAGCAGAACCAGGCTTAGTGTGACCGGCCATCTGCCGAGGCCGACTGGGGTTCAAGGAGACAGAAGCAGAGATACAAAAAGCAGAGATTCTGTCAACCAGCTCAACAGGAAAAACAGTCAGGCAGAAGAAACATGTCCCAAACTACAACTACAAACTAAAAGTATGAAATTGCGAAGGGAAAGAATGACCAGTAACCCCCTCTCATATCATTAAAAGACCCAAAGCTAAAGTTACTGAGAGGTTCTACTTGGCTGAACACAAAGACTGAAAATGTGGAAAATGGTTATCCAGCTTCTAGAAATAATACCTAAAGTTGATAAGCACTTTATATCTTCTTGTTTTGACTTCAAATTGAGTTTTTTGTGCAAAATATGAATCAACATCAGAAATAAAAGAGCCAAATCAATCCTTGAACTTTTCCAATGTAAGGAAATCAAATGGCTTTTTTCTCTGCTTTGTTTGGCAAAAAACAAAGTAAGGGCCAAACTGCTCCATATTAAATAGGAAAAGATTGAGTGTAAAATATCCTAAACTATGAAGGTACTAAATAGCAAAAAAGGAACTTGAAGCTAAAGCAAGTGGAAGGCTAGTTAAGACGATAGCACAAAGATTGTAAAACCTGACGAGTATCAAAAAATAACTAAAACAATTACAGCTTAGGTGCCCTAATTATTATTCTTTGGGTTTCATTATAAAAGAAAATGCTGAAATGCTATTTTTGCGGAACTGAATTTAAAATCAGTCTTTGCTAGTTTTAGCATATAATCACCCAAGAAATTCAAGAGACATATTACTCTTTTTAATTAACTAGAATATTTACGGAAAGCTGACAAGCACTTTATATCTTCTTTGTTTCATTCCAGAAAGCTTGTAAAATGTAATTTGCTCCAAACAGAAATCTAAATTTGCGCTCATTCAGTTAATAAACACCAGAGCCATATCAGTCTTTTCAATTTACTCTTCGAAAAGTAAGAAAGTGAATGGTTATTTATTTTTTAACGCAGTACGTTTCTGGGGCAGCTTCATTGAAAACAGTATTTTCCAGCTTGCATGGCAGCATAGTTCAGTAACTTGTAACCTAAGCTAATATTAACTACCTTTTGCTTAAAGCGGAGAGAAACTTGCTTAACTTTTGGGTGATTGTACATGTAGCTCAATGTTTTCCAGCCACATACTCTGTCACAATGTCAGTAAGTGTCATCTATGGACATGTGGTCTCCTCTGAAATCCACCTTGTGTGTGTTAGCATCCGAATCTAATTGTTTTTAAAAAAAGATATAATGAACAAATCCTGCATGATGGTGAAATTATTTCACTGCAGGATCATGGTTTCTTCTAGAGATGCAATAATCCTATTCTTTTCTTCTGGTAAGGGCAAAATGTAAATGGTAAAGAGTCTTAACAATGTATAATACATAGTATATTTTATTCATGTAAAATGTTACTAATATATTACTAATATGAGACGTGTTGATTTCAAACTTTTGTCGTTTATCTCCCCCCCGCTGTCTAATTGATAGTTCTTTGCTGATTAGAGGAATCAATTATGGGTCAGAATTAAATCAGTATTTAAATATTTTTGACCAGTTCTGGGTGAAATTTTGCCTTAAATTTGGTCTTATTAGACAGGCACTTTGTGTTTAACAATTTAAGTCACCCTATCAGTTTAGAACTGTTGTGCAGTTGTAATTAGTTTCATGAGAATGAGAGTGTGTGTGAAAGAGATGATAAATAAAACTATAAAACAGCTACAATTGTCTTTGTGCTTTATATGTTATGCTTTTCAACAAAGGGAATGTTTTTTATTAAATTATTATTATTTTTTTTAGACCTCTACAATTACACCAGTCCTGTATAGCAGCTGCCCTTTTTAACACTAGGGTAAAAATGTGGTTCTGATTTTTAGTCGGTGTATTTTATTTAGATATTGTGACACAAAAACAATCTGACGATTTTTGAAGTGGAATATAAACTGTATTCGGTTAGAAATCTGGAAAAATATAGCATCCATTCCTATTCAGGCTGTGCTGCTCTGCTGTCCCTAAGTCAGGGGCGGAGCGAGATGGGGGCCCAGGGGTGACCATGGCCACCCTTAGCCAATCAGATGCAGATACTATGCAGAATGATTACCGATAAAAGTAGGTAATTGAATAGATGTTCACCCAAAACTCAAACCTGAAAGAATTTTATCCACTATACCTTTTATCTAGAAAGCCCAGATTTATGAATATATTTGTCTATTTGTTAGCAAAGACTGTGGGAAAATACATTTTGTCTTTATTTAGAAACTATGGATGTTTTGCTCTTTAATTTTCCTGTTGGAACATTGTAGATTGACAGAGAGGTTTTGGTGCCTGTCTGCTTTCGGCCACCCCTCAGTGTACATTGGTTTTGCCTGGCCGCCCTTATAAAAATACTCTGGCCACGCCTCTGCCTTAAATAAAACCCAATTACAATCCAGTGATAATTTCATTTGTTTGTTTTCTTTTAGTGCAGGTTTGTAACAGTTGCATTTTTATTTTTCCCACCTGACTCAATACCTTTAAACCTACTTTAGTGGTAGCAACAGCTTACACTAAAGTGGTAGCCAAAGCACAGTGTTGGGTAAGTTATTTTGAAAATGTAATCCGTTACAGTTACAAGTTACCTTGTTTGAAATGTAATTGTAGTGTAACTTTTTCGATTGCTTTTAAAAAGTAATGTAACTAATTACTTTTGATTACTTTAAGGTTTTAATAAGTATTGACCCGTGTTCAAAATTTAATTTTTGAGAACTGAATGTGAACCTTAAAAAAGCACTAAGCTGAGAGGGAACTGCTGACAGGCAATCACAGGATGTCCACAAGAAGAGATGCCAGCACCAGGCATGGAAGATTTTCTCAGACTCCTCTCATCGGGCCATACTCTTTTCTGTTCCTCCCCCAGGCTCTACCATTTACGCAGTTTGCAGACTAACACAAGCAGGTTCAGAAACCACTTCTTTCCTACAGCGGTCACCTTATTGAACTCTTCCCAAAGACCAGTCTTTCCTTCCCCTCTATCCATACCTTACTGTACCATCCCAACATTTGTACAGTGTTCCTCTTCAGTTCGCACCTGTACAGCCCTATCTACAATATCGAAGTTTCACTACTGCTCTCTAATTAGAGTATCTTAGTGGCACACATCGGATTGAACTATCTGGAAATTAAAGGTGGCAATAAAGTTAAAGCTGATATATTTATTTAAAAATATATACTGTAGTTGACTGTTTTAATTAGTGTTTGACTATGTAAAACAAATGACTAATGTTGGCCACATGAGCTCTCTATGGCCAAGAACCCTGAAAATCACTCATGCCTTTTTTTTTTTTCTTTTTTTCAAAACACTTCTGCTTAGCCACATTACATATTTCACAAAGGTCTTTATATTTAAAAAAAAAAGTAAATTAATTTGTAATTAATATTTTTGGAAGTAACTGTCACTGAATTACATATTTTCTCATTGTAACTGTAACGAATTACAGTTACTCTTTTTTTGTAATTAAATTACGTAACGTCGTTACATGTAATCCATTACTCCCCAACACTGCCAAAGCATGTACTTAAGTGTCCGTTTGGGAAACATCCACACTCAAGTGCCCTCTCAGGAGCCAAATCATAGGCTAAACTGCCTTCTTGGGAGCTAAAGGCTTGTTAAACTGCTCTCTAAGAAGCCAAAACACATCCTAAAATGCCCTCTTGTAAGCCAAATTTGTGCTAAACTGCCCTCAAGTGTCCTGTTGGGAGTCAAAGCACTTGCTAAATGCCTTGTTGGGAGCTAAATCGCTTGCTGCAGTGCCCTCTTGGGAGGCCCCTTTTTTTTCTGCCCCTGCCCTTCAAAAAGTCAATGCATGCCACTGGTGGAGAACGTATTTCCTCACAACCTTTGCAAAGCAAAAAATTTTAGGATCAACAACAACAAAAAAAGATACAGGATAATGATTACTATGTTAAATTATAAAAAAGCTGGGAATGAATCAATATTTTAGTTGTTTTTTAAATGATGCAAGTCAGATTTCATGTAGTCAAGTCGTAAAAATACGAAATATTATTCCCTTTATTTCACCTTATAATGCCCTAAAATCTTAGCAGATTGTGCACTTTTAGGAACTGCTGTATATAAACCCAAACAAAGGACACAAAGTTGAAATAAATGACGAGGTTTATTTAGCAGAGTAAAATATTCTTTTGATGTGACAATCACGTGCTTTCCATACGACTACCTGAGACAGAACACTCGGTGTTCCTGTTTGCAGCTTAGAAATATAGAAAATAAGTTTCATTTGTAGAAAATTTCATGCCCTGAATTTCATTTTCTTTCCTTGTGCACCTTCAATCTGTGGAAGAATAGCGTTTCTTTGTATCTTTGCAATACATTCAAAGTGAAGTAAAAAAAAAATTGACATTACAACATGCAAAGCATAATGGCTTCCTCCTGAGTATGGCTTTAGTGGGCCTTTGAGGAGACTCTCATTGGTCGCCTTGCCTTTTGTTGCTGCAAAAAACAAAAACAAAGTAATCTGAGAAAAGCAAACCAGAGCATTTGTGCAATCAGCTGTTATGACTCCGTTACCTCTCCCCTGTAGGTTTAGAGGTCATGACCCAGAGTAAGTATTCTTTGGCAGCCATGGCGTCCAGCACCTTGTTCACATCGCTGGTGAAGCTTCCATCTACATGCCTCCTGCTGAACGTCTTAGCCAGCGTGTCCATTTGCGATCTATGTACAAAAGGACACAATGTAAACAGTGCCCATCAAGGGTCAGCGACCCTTTTAGACCTACAAGCCAACAGATGTTGCTATAGCCTACATTGATGTAAGCGTTTTTATGTTTGCTTCTCTCGTGTGTTTTGTGGTTCATCCCATTGCTAGCAAATAGAGATACATCGAATCAACACAGTGGAAAGGTTCATGTGATTTATTTGATCACAACAATGACAGGAAAGGAAAAGGGGAAGGGAAACACAAAGCAGATGATTGGCTCAAGATCAGTCTGGTTCCCTTGATGGAATCACGGAGGAAGCGGACAGGCAGGTGGTTTTTCGGAGACTTTGAAGCTGCATGGAGGAGGAGGAGGAAGAAGGGATTGGCCTACTCTCTTCTGATTTCTCCAGACTTGAGCTTGGCCACAAAGTCTTTGATAGCTTGGTCCTTGAGGTAGGAGCTCACATCGCTGGTGAAGGTTCCATCTGCATGACGTTTTTCAGCACTGCTGGTAAAAAAAAAGAGAAGGAGAAAAACCTGAAACTCATAAAGTTTTACATTACAAAAGGGTTTGACTTCTTAAATGTTCTGCCACCAACCCGCTTCTTTTGTCACTCATTAGCCATCGAACAAAGTCCTGGGCCTTCCTGTCCTCCAGGTATTTGCTGTAGTCGTTTGAAAACGTTCCCTCAGAGTGTCTCTTCATGTTCGACAGCTCCCTGGGCTCGCTGTCTAATGTGTCTTCCTCAAAGCTGCAGCAGATGGAAGGCATCATGTCACCTTTTGGTCATTTCTCAGACTCAATTAGAATTTAGAGACAGAAATAGTTTGTTTTTCGACTGGTTACAGTAAACCATAAAGGGATTTTTAAAAATTATATTAGTTGAAACATTCAGTTTAAAATAGCTCCTTCTTGTAGCTGCATATAAAACCCATTGTGTAACCGCACAAAAATACCTGCTTAAAGAGAATTGATAAAGTTTGTATTCTGCTCAGTTATGCCTAATGTTGCTAATCCCCAATAATACCCAAATTTATATATACTCTATATTCATCTTAATATCTACTTTTTACATTAAATAAATGATGCAATATGGCATTAGATCATTTTTTAATGCATTGGGCACTTATTTATAAAGGAGCTCTTAATTATGCACATAGGACATGGAGATAGGAGGGTGTGCACCTCTGTTAATCCTCCTGTGAGAAACACTAACAAACGGAACAAGTTTTTAAATGCAATAGAAGAATTTAATCAAAAATTATACCTCATTAAACAGTGGCAGCATAAACCGCTGTTATTAATTTTTACGTTGGGCTTTTTTTAGATAGCAGAATCCTGCTTTGGACTTAGCCTCAAATTCTTTTTCAAATAGATATTCCATGACAGAACATTTATTCTCCAGGTGCGGAATATTTATATTGTTAAAACACTTTACAGTACAGTATTTCTTTTTTTTTTTTTTAACTCTTTACTATTATGTTATTCTTATGCACTTTTCTAAGGTCCATATTTGTTTGACCATTTGTTTTTCTATAATCTTTTTGCTGCTGTACACACCAGAATTTCCTCATTGTGGGACAATAAAGTGTTTTCTATTCTATTCTATCTTATTCTATTACTCTTTATTCTGTATTGCACTGTGGTTCAGTTTAGGCTGGTTTTCGTAGAGTTGTTTTGTAAAACTAAAAGCTGTATGATCTTATAATGTAACATGTTTTTTTTTTATCTTTATCCTCATAAAACAACTGATAAGACTTTTTTAACCACTTACTAAATGCTTTGTCAACTTGTAATTTCAAATACAGTGGTATTTATTTTAGTCCAATTTCATGTTGGAACTGTTGACCCATTTAAGTCTGATAATGATTTTCCAGAGAGCTTAAACTTTTATATTTTTTGTTTTCCTCTTGTATGTCACAGGCTGCAGTCTGCTGGTAGAAATGCTAAAACGTGAGTTAGAGTTGATCTGACTGTGCTACACCTACAGGGTTTTACCTTAAGCTGTCCTCCATGCCGAGTAGAGGAACCTGCCAGCTGAGCTGCGCAAAGCCCAGGACCAGGAGGAGGCCGGCCAAGAAGTGGATGTTTCTCATGGTCATAAGCTGCGACATAGAACAAGGCATGAATGTGGAAAACTTGTAAGCTGAAGGTAAAGCCATATAAAGACAAGAAGTTTAAACTCACCTTCTATTTTTCCCTTCCAAACAGTGCTTAGTTCCTCTCCTGGGCGTCTCTGTATAACCACCTGCTCTTATCTTCCAGGTTTATATACTGCAAGAGGACGTCCCAAATCCTCAGGTGGACCCGTTTTACCCCCCGACCAGTCATCTCATTACTCTCAACCCATTAGACACAGGGCCCTTCTTCGACGGGCAAGTAAACGAGCCGAGCGTTTGTTCATTTGAAAGGTGGAAAGACGCAGTTCATGCGTGATGCCTGCTTGTACTTAGGTGTTAAGATCAAACAACTGCTGCTCATCCTGTCAAACAGACAGTCAGGGAGATGCTCTAATGTGCTACTGTGTCATCACAATGAGGAGCGATTGCTACGCTGCTGTATTTGGACAATGAGTCAGTATTAGAGGCTTCTTTCCAATCAGATGCAGAGAATTGGAAATATTGATCAGTTTTTGCATCAGCGGCAGTGAGGTTTTACAACTCGGACGGTCAATAACGTTCCGTAAACGGCTCATATTCCCTTTTCTCTTCATCAGTTAGAAATGAAAGTAAATGTAACTTTAATATTTTCTGGTAAAGCACTTTATTAAACTGTGAAAAAGTTATCAAAAAAAAAAAGACTTTTAAAAGCGCAAATAGCTGCTTCATCTCAAAAAAGCAAATGTTAATGGAAACGCAACACTGAAGGATTTATTTCTTTTTCATTAATTAAATGCATTTTATTGGTAGTACTTGGTAGACTTTTTTATATATATACTTCATAGTATTTTATCATTTTATGATGGATTAAAGCAAAGTGGTGCATTAGATATTTTTTCCTACATTTTTCACAATAAAAAAAAAGGGGATGTTTGTATTGTTACATCAAATAATAACAGGATAATTATCTCAGTCACTGCTCTGGGTTTTAGGTCAGGGCGCCAGTCAAGCTCAAATCAAACTCCAGAAATCTATCCCCAGCAGCTCTCCAACAATGGTACTTTAACTGATCTGGATGTCACATTAAAAGTATAAAGGAGGATGTTCTTTTTCCAGGTAAACCATCTAAATAATTGGTCCTCCTAATTGTCAATCATTCTGATGATATATTATAGATTTACGTAAGGCCGTCTTATGTGCTCATAACAAATTTTCACTTACTAGGGGTGAGTGTGACATAGTAGAAAAATTGCAAATCTTCCTTTGCACAGTAAGCTTGTATAAGTGATGCAAACAGCAACTTCTAAACCAGGGGTCACCAACGCGGTGCCCGCGGGCACCAAGGGGCCCTCAAGGACCACATGGGGTGCCCTCTTCGTCTTCTGAAAACAGAAGAACTCACTCGGTGGGTTAAGTTTAATCTTTTTTTTTTATTCTGTTGCTCTTCTTTTTAATCATTTATGTATTATTTCATCATGTTAACTATTTCATCATATGTCAGTGGTTTCAAAATGACAATATTAAAAAGAAAATTAGAAATGAATAAAAGAATAAAATAAGAATAAAAATGAGTTTTTATGGATGAGATTTACTGTAGGTGAACACTGATCCCTCCAGTTCATAGGTCAGTATTGGTAGCCCTTCCTATCACTCGGTAGCCATTAAGTAGCCCTCAGCCTTAAAAAGGTTGGTGACCCCTGTTCTAAACAGAGTGTGCACCAGGACAGAAGGGCTCTTGCATGCATATGATAGGCGTTCCCTCTCGGAAGCAGGTACAGGGCGGGTCTTAAAAAAAAAAAAAAGTGAAAATCCTCCACTATACGTTTAAGTTTAAAGGTCTGCAGCAGTTAATGTAAAATTGGTGTCCTCTGTGTACTAGTAGCCTCCCATTCCTTGTCAACGCTCCACCACTTTACATATGCTTAAACATATTGGCTGACCTGATCTTGTTGCGTATCTCCTCCACTTTGAGTAATATTTATAAATGAGAAATTTTAAGAACTGGATTTGTTTCACTGTTGTTCTCCCATCATGGTGCCACATTGAATTGCGACCCATTCTTTTAAAAAATGCTTTTTTTTTTGTCAAAACAATCTGCATTTAAACACCTGTGGCATGGAAGTGATTGGAAAAATATCAGTTATTTGGATGCTACATAGCAGGATAGTGGATGTCTCTGTTTTAACACAGCTGGGTTATAAGCCTTATATTGGTTTCATTTAGTGGTGCTGAGCCAGGGGACCATATAATAAATAATAATACAAAAAAATGACAAGAATCTTACAAAAGAATGATAAAATAATTACTTTTTTATTAAAACATATAAGAAAAAAATCAGTAACCTTATTTCAGAAATAAATTCGGTTCAGTTTTCATCATTTAATAAATGTATGTTATTTTACAAGGTAAAATACTATACATTTTAATATACAACATAAACAGAATGCATTACATTATCTCTAAATATTGTATATATAATATATAATGTTAGATGCAAATGATTTTTTCCGATTTCATGGTGCGTTTCTCATTTTCTTGGTTGAAACATTGCTTCATATGTTATGACAACTCATTGGCCATCCACAATAAACAACCTTAGCACTGAGAAAATCAACTAGATAAACACAAATAAGTATAAAATCTTCCCCAGCTTGATTAAAACATCAATGTTTTAAAGAAGTCGGTTCCAACAAGCTTATATCAGCTCCAGTAGCTCTGTCCTTACAAACGATATTTAACTTCCTGTAAGCAAGGAAAGTGTGAGATCCTTCTTTTAGCCTGCAAACCGCTATTACCCAGCAACAGGTGGAGGAGGGGCAACACTGTTAAACTGCGTGTTTCAGTCTTGCACTTTGTTAACATCTGATTTGACTTCAAATCCTTGGAAAATCACAGACATATTTACCTGCTAAGTTGCCTAATTTAGGGACCAATATAGGGGATGTAGTTTCCAATGTAACCCTTACCTTATTATTGAATCAGTTCTATATTTTAACTTTAAATAAAATATAGATAAGGCACATATGAATTTGACACAGAACTTAAATGATGAGCTTTTTTCCACTGGTGACTCAGATGATTTACCAAATGTGGGCAAATATGAGGTGAGGCTTGTATTTTGATTGTATACAAGGACAAAACGAGTGTCAGAATCAAAGAAAACTGATAAAATATCTCTTTCTGTTTGTGGCATTTTCAAGTTTGTTTTATCATTATGAAAATATGAAAAAATAAATCACATTTAAAATTACTGCCACAAAATTGAAAAACATTTAAGGTTGCACAATCCCTGCTTATTATCCAGTCTTAGATTAATGCAAGGCCTCTTTGGCACATAATAAGGAGGTATACGTTAGAGCAATTCTAACAGTATCTTTTTCACATGAGAAAATAATTAAATATAGATTATTTTATTCAAAGCATGTATTTAGGAACTTGGACATGTGATTGTAGACGTGCATATTTGCTGAGCCTCCCAGTCCGTGGTCTTTGTCCGTGTACCACTGAAAGAGGTACATAAAAAGGAAAATAAGCATACATGGCAATAAAGTTCCCTGAATCATCATTTGCATTTTCAGTGTTACTCACCATGGCCTCAAAGTCAACCTGCTCCTCGACCAAAGCTTCTGAGATCTCAGCAGCCTGCTGGAAGTGAACATTATCTAGAAGGAAACGAGGCAAAACTTAATGAGTGAAGTTACTAGGCACCCGACTCCAGAGCTGATCGCCATCCTTCCATGATGATAAGCCTTGGTCTGTTACTGGCTGCTCACGTTTTCCATTAAACTGTTCCAACTGCAAACAAGAAATTAACTAAAAAATAATAATAATAATACATTTTATTTAACAGCGCCTTTCTGGACACTCAAGGTCTCTTTAAAGAAAATACAAAAAATAAATAAAAAGAAAGATGAAAATACAAAAATACAAATGCAGGAACATAAAAAAAATTATGCAAGAGTGACTCCATTCTTCCCTAATACCACCTGGTGCTTTACACATGCAGGTCAGCGGGCTTAACAGCATTAACGCCTCAATACCATAAAAACATGTCTTTTTTCACTCAAGGTTACAATGCCATAAAAATCTCGACGATAATGCCTGTCTAATCTGCTTGATCACAAGAATTCAGACCCTGCTACCCTACCTCAACCTGCAATTACTTATTTCGACATACTGTATGTCTCAGGTCTTATATGACATTGAAATAAAAAACATTTTTGAAAATGGTAGAGGAATCTAGTAGAGATAATTATACACCGAAAGGAAATCCATAACAACATGAGCTGAAAAGCCGCTCACTAAGGAGGAAGCCATTTTGTTTTAAACTAAAGCAACATCAGACAGATAAAAAAGAGTAATTAGAAACCTCATTGAGAGGAACATATCCTAATGTCTGAGGATATTTAGATAGATTTTTTAATTTGCTAGCATATAATGGGCTAAAAATGCAGCAAGTTTTTAAAAAGACAATCCAAAGTTTAGCTACTATGACTCTAAAACAGTTTTTTGAAATAAATTGTTCCATATAAAAGAAAAAAAATGTGTTTAATACTAGTCCGCCATAGAGTTGCAGTGGATCTATGCTTCTAGGGCTAACAAGCTGCAAGACTTTTCCCATCTACACTGCAGTTAACACGGTGACCATGATGACGAAGGTGCAAAAACTTTCTTTTAAATCAAGCGAAGGTACTAATAAAAGTTTGGGAACCACCGGCCTAGCATACGACATGTGAAAGCTGCTATACCAGCAGAAAACTGCATGACCTAAAAGCATAGTGGTGGTGATGAATGGCGATGTTAACTTAGATTAGATTAGATAAAGCTTTATTGATCTGACCTTGGAGAAATTCACTTGTGACATTGGCTCTTATAAATAAACAGAAGGTGCACAGAGGAGGAAAATGTGCATGAAGTATATACAATGGATGGGATTTAAACAGTATGTACAGTAAAGTGGTGACATGTAAAGTGCGGCTTCTGGTTTGCTAAATAGTATAAGTGAGGAAACTGAAATAGTCGAAGGCCCTCATAGTACAGGATCATTGAACAAATCAAATAGTTATTGCATAGTGCATCTGTGAACATCACGTTTTGCTAGTCATCCTTTCATGAACACAGTGCTCACATCACGGCTGCTTCCAGCAGGAGGCTGTACCATAGCATGAAGCCAAAATAAATTTAATTCAGTTTATTTATATAGCGCCAATTCACCACACATGTCATCTCAAGGCACTTTACAATTCAACTAGATCAGAAAGTCAAATTGAGTCAAAGTTTTCTGTCTAATGAAAATCAGTTGATTGCATCAACTCATTGATTTGAAGGCAATCCCTCACACTAAGCATGCTTGTAGCAACAGTGGAGAGGAACAACTTCCTTTTAACAGGAAGAAACCTCCAGCAGAACCAGACTCAGCGTGAGCGGCCATCTTTCGAGGCCGACTGGGGTTCAAAGAGACAGAAGCAGAATCGAGTCAAATCATCTCAAACATGAAGTTTCCTGCTCCGACGGCCTCCGTAGTCAGTATATTTAAGTCCAACAGAGTATCAAAATGATCAATAATGGGCGACAGTGGCGTTGGATGTAGGAGTTTGCCCTGAAATCGAAGGATTGACGGTTCAAGCCCCGGCTCTGACTTTTAATTGTCGTTGTGTTGTTGGGCAAGACACTTCACCTGCATTGTCTACTGATGGTGGTCAGAGGGCCCGGTGGCGCCAGTGTATGGCAGCCTCGCTTCTGTCAGTGAGCCCCAGGGCAGCTGTGGCTACAATGTAGCTTGCCACCATCAGTGTGTGTGTTAATGGGTGAATGAATGTAGTGTAAAGCGCTTTGGTGAAGTCTCCTGACCTGAAAAAAGGCGCTATATAAGCACATACCATTTACCAATAATGTGCAGCTGATAAGCTATCGTAACAAAATTCACAAAATTTTATAGAAATATTTCAGACTCATTATCAAAGTTATGCTACCAAGACTTAAGGTAGCTTTGAAGGCAAAAGATGCTGCAACCGTCCACATAAAGGGTGTACCTAATAAAGAGGCCGGTGAGACTATATTCATGGAGCAATTCCTTCTTGTATATACGGAAAATACTACGGTTTGACATGACTTTGTAGTTGTCAACTCCTACTTTCCAAGAAATTTCTACATCCTCCTTAAGGTTCAGTTTCATCCTTCGGTGATACAAAAAAAAATTGTATGAGTTGATAATGTTTCTGTAAATCATGGGAAAACTTTCAAATGAGAAAATCTCAGTAATAAATAAAACCAAAAAAAACCTACCATCAGCTGTTCCATGAACCAGAAGATACTGTACTGATTGGAAGTTCTTGGCTCTGGCTGTTACTGTGGAGTTCTTTGCACAGTCAGATTTATGGTTAGGATACAAGATAACTTGACCATATAACAGATATATATTTCTGATAGTGAAGCTTACATCATAGGCATCTCTATTCTCTGAGGGCTGCCTCATATAGCGCTCTGTGTAGATGGAGTCTGGAATAAATGGATGGATACAGGTCTTATAATGTGCCACTATTACAAGGACTGGATTAGGGCAAATATCAACACCAAGAAAATACCATAATATTCCCATTTGGATACAGGAGCCACTGCCATTCCACATTTGAAAACTCCGCTGCCAGAACCCAGGACCATTGAAGATACATACCCACCATAGGACTGTGGAAGATAAGACCTCTCATTATATCACCTCATCGGTACTATAAAAAAAGACTGACGTCAAAGTGGAACATTAACTTATTTTTAGAGCAACAACTTGGCCTTTGAACTTCAAACAGTATACATCCACAGGCGCATATTATTACATAGGCCTTATTTTTGGCTACTTACCCATCCCCATATAGCAATCCTTGTTTCGTCAATAAAGCCCATTTTTATGAACTCCCTCAGAAAAAAAAAACGATAAAAGAAAGGAAATTAGATCAAAGTAGTCAACAGAATGGCCTTATTGTCTTATCAAGGTTTCTCGTGTAAAGGTAGATGTTTGCGACTTGTTTAAACCGCCAATCTTCTTACTTAGTCGCTCTTATCTGATCTTCCACCTCATAGGTTCCCAGCCGTTGGTAGATTTCATGCATCAGCTGGTCACCCTGGTAACCGCTTCCTCTTCCGTCAAAGCTGGCAACAATGACTTTCTGAGTGCTTGCCAGGTAGGTGGACCAGCCCACCCTGTACCTCATGTCTACTTTCTGACTGCAGGGACCGGCATACCTGCAAGATTTAATGTTAGTGTTGTGTGTGTATATATATATATATATATATATATATATATATATATATATATATATATATATATATATATATATATATTCTAATCTAGATAAATCTCACTGTAATCGTGGATTTAATCTAGATTTAAATTATTTATATTCTGCCAAAGTCATTAACATATCACACATAATTCTGTCTACTTATTTAAGATTATGACAAAGTTATAAATACGTTTTTTTTGCTCATTTGTTACTGTGTTTTTGCTGCAAAAAATAGTGTCCCACATTAACAAAATAGTGTCTCCAGACATCTGACAAACACGTTGCCTCGATCAACTTCTCATCTTTTGCGGCTTTCTCCGCGGCCTGCCTGTCATATATTCTCCACATGATAGTTCGCCTCGCAGGTAGCTTGTAAGATGGATCACCTGTGGCCTCCTGGAGAGGGAGGGGCTGGCAGCTTGTAGCCTCGTGAGACCATCCTGATCTTGCGAGCTTTCAAGATTTCACTCGCTAATCAGTCTGGAGACTCTCCGTTGAAGAAAATTTGGAGCCGTTCACCAAACGAACGTCCAATCAGCGTTGGCTTTGAGGCGGGTTGAGGTGTGACGCAACGAGAAGCGCGACAGTTCAGTCTAAAGAACATGGCGGCTTCAGCCGATGAAACTAGCGTTAGCGTGGCTATCGAGCAAGTTTTATCGGAATTACAGAGTATTTCTTCACTGAAAGAAGAGCAAAACACTGCTCTGGAGGCTTTTCTCAGAGGAAAAGATGTTTTTGCTCTTCTACCGACTGGTTTCGGCAAGAGTTTGATCTATCAATTGGCTCCTCTTCGTCGTCGCTCTGTTACGTCATATGCTTCATCGATCTGATTGGTTTATTTTGCCCGTCTATCACCAACATAGGCCAATCAGCTAACCAGTATTTTCGCCTCTTCCCAAAATTACTTCAACGTAAGGTTTCCAGTCTGGCGGAGTCAGGTTAGGCAGCATGTGGCTATCCACGGAGCGAGGGGATTGGCTAGTTGGCTGATAGAGCTGAGCCTAGGCAGACTGATTTATTCTCGCCCCCAAAAATAGATCTGCGCTAAACTATTAAGGTGAAAGTCATGATTATTATAGACCCAGCTCCCAACCCAGCGGTAAGAACAGATTAACAGCGATATTTTTTTTATCGCCCGATATGAGTCTGGTATTAATGCCGATAACGTCCCACCACTAATATATATGTGTATATATGTGTGCATGATTGTGTTAGTTTTCCCAGTAGATACTTACACGTCTATTAGCAGAGGATACCTCTCGGACTCATCAAAGTCTGGGGGTAAATACATCTGATACCAAAGATCTGTCAATTAAAACAAGTTTTTCATCAGATAAGAACAATTTAGACCTAACGGTTCATATCTTTATTTTTAGCTTTTTATGAAATCTGATGGCTTTTCATTTGGCCGTTCTATGTCTCCTATGTCCTGATAGACTGTCACTATGTAGACTGCATGGAAATAGACATTTCCCCCACAGGCAATAATTAGAGAGCTTAATAGTTAAAAACCTAAACTATACAATATTTAGTAAAAAAAAAAACTTTACTTAATTTTTTTTTATTTATTAAAATAAGAATAATTGTCTTGATGCCAAAAAGAGCCCAACAGATTTTACTTTCACGAGTGGAGCAGTACGGCTATTGCCATAGTGTTCGACTTGATTAATGCTTATAAACAGCTTTATTATAATTAATGCAGGAAGTGTTACAGATTATATGGACACTACAATGTAAATAGAACAGGAAAGTAAAAAAACAGACAAAAAAAAGGAGAAAATATGAAAGAAAAAGGAGATAAAAGGAAGATGACGATAAAACATCTTCAGTCTGCTTCATCATCTCCAAACAGATGTAAAAAGAACAGCACAACCAATGGATATAGTATAAGAGATACAATAAAGTACCACCTAAGTGGTATTATTTAATCAGACATGTATACTGTGGTAGCTGAAGATAAGAGTAAGTACCTGGAGCCAAGCACCACTTGTTTTTTTAAATTAAAAACAATGTTTTTGTGGCAGATCCATAATATTTACACAAGTGAGTTTTATTCTAAATGATAACCAGTTGTAGAGAAATAAACTTACTATAATTATTGAGCTTAATGGTCCCTCGACGAACAGTGGGCATTGAGAGTTGGGATATTTCACCTTCAAATGCCTTGTTCTCTTCCAAAGTCTTCATTGCTAAAAATAAAAATATATAAAATACAGATTTTCTCTCTTTTCATGTAGTTTGATGTTAAATTATTTTAAACTTTAGCTTACGTTTATTACTCTTCGTATCTATAAGCGAATAATACGGGATTCTGGGACCTTTAAAGGGGGAAAAAAGCCTTTATTAGATTTGAAAGAGATATAGAAAGCAGTAACATTTTTAAAACTGACCACTGCAGCTGAAACGGTAGTAGGAGGCATTGTGGCTCAGGTACGCTGAGTTATATTCACAGTCCGATAGAAGGGAGCAGGTTAGACACCTGGAGTCTTGGTTTGACCACCTGACACACAGAGACACACATCAGTTTCAGTTTTCTTAGGAAAAACAACCCTTTCTAAAGGTTCGAAATCCAAATTCTTACACGTAGACATTCCTTCCTCCAGGCTTGTTGTCTTTTTCATTACTTGAATAATACCTGAAGAGAAAATGGAATTCAGATTGGTGCAAAGTAAGAATCTATCAGTGTATATTTCTGTATAAGAAATAAGGTTTTAGAAAATTAAAATTTGACTGCGAAATTTAAATTAACCCCACCAGGAATTGGCTTAGAGCCTCTTCAAACATGGCTGAAGCTTTGACAGGAAGTGATAATATGAACTAGGATTTAAAATGCTTTGCTCCGTCTTGGTCGGGTCCTTCAGGGTAACAGAGTTTCCTCTTCTAACGTTACAGAGCGTGAAACATCCTTGTTATATTTGAAAGGGCTCCAAACTACAGAGGCAGTGGCAGTGTTGTGATTGTGGGGCGTTCTGCATCCTGATGATATGCGATAACGACATTCGTGTAGGCGGGGTGGAGTGATGGAAAATCCTAGCTGGATTTTTCAGGCCAAAAAAGGGGAAACTCAGGAATCCCAACTATAGCGTTATAGATTTTTATTATTTTTTTTGCAAGAACTCAAAGTAATTTTCTTTTCACTTGATGCCTTTTCCTAAATTAGCACAAACAATCAAAGCACTTTTATTAAGTTCTGTAAATTGGAAAAAAATAGCAATATATTATAACTGAAGAGGCCAGAATGGACTGGGGTGAGAGCTAATGTGGTGTAATTTTAGCCACAGAGGCTATTTCACAGAAATACTATAGAAAAAAGAGATGGGGGAGAGTAGCTCTAGCTTACTTTAGTAATTTGGGTCTTAACTGAACCTAAATTATTGAGACCTCTCATATTAAGGTAAGCCCTTTGCTGAGGGGCTTGCCAGAGCTTGATCTTGTTATGCAGAAAACAGCACCTGATGGCTGTTTGTTATTCACCATTAGTGTTGCTTTTTATGCCCCCTGCACACAGGGGGACTTATTTTGTTGATTTTTTAATGCGAAATTTGAATAATAATAACTGAACTTTATTGATCTCACATTGGGGAAATTATCCTCTGCATTTAACCCATCCCTTGGGGAGCAGTGGGCTGCCATTGTGTGGTGCCCTGGGAGCAGTATGGAGTAAAGGCTGATTTATACTTCGAAACTAGGTTTCAAGGTGCAGACACTCTGCTGCACCTCTCCCAAATTGTAGGTGACCGCGGAAAGGAGGCCTCTGATTGGTCAAATCTAAATCCGCTCTACTCTATGCGTATTTCCTGTTTGGTACCTTACCGACTTGTTTTGTTTGTATGACCGCCATTGTGGAAAACGACTCGTGAAGTTGGACCTGTCACTACCCGATCCGTCCAGGAAGCACGATCCGTTCTGTTCATGCGCCATCAGCTCATTTGCGCATCCAGATATACATAAAGGTCACCCTCGATTTTATTTTGTTAAAAGACCTAAATGAAATACTAAACTCTTATGTTTTAAAGGTTAATAATGTATTTCCTGAGAAAATAAATGCCTTAAAATCCTGTTTTATCAGTCGTCTCTGCCTGATATGCACTGGAAATCCTTCGCTACTTATGGGAGCTAACTTTTTCGGCTTTGGATTAAATCTAGTGTTTTTGAGTTTTATTTTTTAGTTTAGTTTTAACCTTATGCTATATAGTAATCTAAAGAAAGAAACAACAAAAATGCAGATAAACATGGTTTAATCATATTTTGCCGGACTGCTCTGACTATGTTCCGTGATGACGTCAGAGAAGCAGTTTAACGAAGAAAATGTAAAAAGCATCAAAATTGTCTCACAAAAGTCATAAAACATTTTTTAAAGATGTGTATTAGCATTCTTTAGTGAGTTAAAGAATAATTTTAGTACCATAATTACATTCTTTATGGCCACCCGGATGTATATCTGTTCGCGGATACGCAGGACAGATCGTGTAGTGACAGGACCAGCTAAAAGAGCGAGGTGCGAAAACGCTGGGACCCTTTTTCCACCTGGATCCACGCTCTTTTTTCGCCCTCATTACCCTCCATTTTCAGAGAAACTTGCCCCCATTCCCTCACCGCCTCAGACGTATCTAGACCCACAGCTAGTTTGTGATTTTCCTTCTTGCATTGTGGCGTTGAATATAACATAACGCAGACCACGCTTCAAAATTGAGCATAAATCAAAAATGTCTGCATCAAACCTGCGACAAGCTCTCTGCGACACACTGCTGCGGGAGTATAACCAGCCTTTTAAGTGTCCTGCTCAGGTAGTTGAACTCAGAACCTCCAGAACCCAAGCACAATGCTCTAACCACTAGGCCGCCACTCCCCCGGATTTTCAAACTTAGAAGGAAACAAACCCTACTAGATAGCCAGGAACCTTATGTAAAATCGCCCCTAAATATAACAGTATATTGTGCAAGAACTGTAGGCAGTTCTTTTTTGCAAGAACTAATTTTGGTGAATTTTATGCAGCACTTAAAAGTCTGGGAACTTGAAAACAGACATTGGTTGTGAAAATAGGACCTGATGGTTAGTTATCCGCTGACCTTTTGTCTAGATCTAGCCACACCAACAGGTGATGGTTGATAACTGGTTAGATATTTTTTTATGTATGACGTCTAGAAACTTCTATACAAGTTGATGGACACTTACACACTATCTGCAGTGACTTTGAGAATATCAATGGCCTCCCAGTTTCCAGATGTGATGGCTGTAGCCTCTCCCTGCATGTTAAACCAAAGCAGATCAGTGTTCATATCAGAGAATCTAAAAAAAACAAGCATTTTGCCTCATTGTTTATTCCACATTCTCACTTCTGTACAATCATTCTGCTCACCTTAACCACACGATGGATGTGCTTGTACTTTGCACTGTCACTCATGATCAGGTAGTAACTATTTCCATCGGGGGCAAAAACCGGCTCTGATGGAGAGAACTACAGAAAGACACCAGTAATTAAAAAACTGAATTTAAGTTAGATTTTTATGTGTGCATTGCTCCCTGTAAAAGGCTTTAATTCACCCGTACCGTAACTTGATAACACAGAGGAATTGCGTATGTTTTAAATGACCTACAGTAAAAAACGAATCGCCTTGGTCTTACTGTAAAAGTTATAGTTTAGAGAAAATAATAAATACATTTTACCAAAGGGAGTGAACATACCCGCCCAATCCAGCCAGTGCTTGTCAGCTCCAGGTCCTACAACAAGATAACAGCAGGTTTATGAACACAATAAGTCACATTTCATAAAAACGCACTATATTACATCAGCTGCTCTAAGCAGAGAGACTGAGCATGTAGAAAACATTTTTAAAAGCTCTACTAAAAAGTTACTGTGTTACTTTTAAATCATAACCCTGTGAATCCTCACAGATAATTTAGGGTTGAAAAGATGAATCGGATTGATAAAGTACTCAACAGATTTGGTGATCCAATTGAAAGGTTACCTAGAGCAGTGTTGTTCAGCCCTGGTCCTCGAGGCGAGGCCCTGCATTATTCCGATGTTTCTCTGCTTCAACTCCTGATCCAGATGTTTGCAGTCCAGCAAAGCCTGATAATCTGCTATCGATATCAGCTGTGTTGGAGCTGGGAAACTAAAACATGCAGGGTAGTCTGCCTCAAAGAGCAAGGTTGAAAAACACTGAGCTAAATTTATGGTACACAGACCCTACAACAGGGCAATCTGCTGAAAGAAAAAATACAAGAAAATCTTTATTTTTAATATTAGGCCTGTAACTAATGATTATTTTGCATATCGATTAATCTGTCTATTATTTTTTCAATTAATCGATTAATAATCAGATAGCAAAAGGTTCCTTAAAGAAGATTTTGAACTAAATTAAACCAGGTAATACTAAAACTTTTCCACCTACGGAGTTCTGGAATGAGTATATTGACAGACCAAAAAAGTTTTTTAAATCTTAAATTTAAAATGTTTATGTATTTTTTTTATTATTATTATTATAAAAACTAATATTATTTTTTTGTTATTATTTTTTGTAAAAGCATGTTTTAGAATCTCTATACTCCAGTTAATGATTAATTGACTGCTAAATTAGTTGACAATTATTTAAATAATAGATTAATCACAATTAATCTGATTAATTGTTTTAGCACATATATATATATATATATATATATATATATATATATATATATATAT